GATGTGATGCAATTAGAGAAAGTACGCAAATAAAAGGTATTTACAAGACACATTAAACATATTAATAGTTAAATTGTGTTATCTAAACCAGAAGGCATGCTTTGAAAACCTGCAAAGCACAATAGGCTCGAGTGTCCCAAAATTCCTGTGGAGAGAAAAGCAGGAGTATTGTCCATGTTGTCGGCAGCTAACCTGTAGAAAAGGGCTTCCAACTCCAAACACCTATCCATTCCTCCCACCATACCCAGAAAGTTTGATAAGGCCATCTTACCATTGCGTGCTGCCAGTGAGAAGATGGACTCTTGAGTTAAAGGCTGACTTTGCCAAATAAGCATTTAGGCCAGACAGTGACAAACTGTCTTTCTGGAGAGTTTGCAGTGCTTCAGTTCCTGAACTGAGCTCAAATGAGCTGATCCCACCTGAGTTGCAGTAGGAATATTACAGTTGATTGTAATGCATCAATGCTAAATGAGAAAAAAATCATTAGTGATGATAATAAGGAATATTTACGTCATGTTTGCCCAGTAAGGTCAAAGTGTGTCATTATTGATTGAGCACGTGATAAGACTGGGATGTGATGATCACTATTCAGTAACTGGATTCACCCATCAAATGTGGCCAGTTGAGTGATATGATGTTTAAAAGCAGTCTTCATTCCTGGAACTGTGGCCAACATGACAGCTAGGATTAAAACTAATTTGTCACATGAAATTCTTTCGTTTGCTATATGCAGTAAAAAAATTATCTCTTCTTCCTCATCAGTAATAAAGACAAGACTTCAATCTCTTCAAAGAGGAGTGAATGAAGACACATACTCAGGGATAGTAGACTGCACCAGGTACTTGTTAAAGATTTGTTTATTTCTATTCAACAACACTTGCATTATATTATGCCACTAACATAGTGGCGCATGATATGGGCTGTTTTTCTGTGCGATGAAGAAATTGATGGCAGGATAATGGAGGGCTTGGCCAATGGTGAGCTCTAAGGATAATGTTAAAGGAATGCATGGATTTAGAAGGGAATTTAGGCTATGGCCCAGGTAACTGAAAGGAGTTGCCTAAAGGGTAGAGGCATGCACAAGATGTTGTAGTTGTAGAGTTCGAGATGGAGCTTGGGTGGAAGCTTTTCAGGTGTGCATATGATGCCTGAGATAGCAGAGGTTGAGCTTATGGAGGATTTAAACAGAATTTCAAAATTAAAAATTATGGTTCTGGGATGTGGATTAAAGTGAAAAAAGAGATCATATGGTGTGGGATAGAATGTGATACAACAGAGATTTGAATGATCTGAAATTTATGGAGGACTGAGGGGAGGCAAGGAGAGCAGTAATTTAATCTGAAAGTTTCAAATTCTCAAAACCTGAAGTAGGAGCAGAAGCAAATAATGTCAATTATATCAAGGTATCATTTGGAAGAAATGGATTCATGTCCAAATCGATTAGGGGTTTGTGGTAATAAACTAGAATTGGAAAATAACATGGGGATATTCCTGCTTAATAAAAGTTGAAGACATCTATGATAACTTGGGATGCCTGATTGGAAAGGAACCTTATTTATTGTTGTACACCAACATGGAACCATTCCCAGTCCGGGGTAGACTGTTCTGCAGACCCATCTAGATGTCATTCCCAACCTCAGGAGCAGGTGGGACTTGAACCCAGGCCTCATGGCCCGGAGGACGTGGGTCTGCTTTGAGTCTTACTGTTATTTTTAATCAGCTTGTTCAGATATATTGTGACACACCTCTGGAGCAGGTAGGATTTAAACCCAGGGCCCCTGGCTCAGAGGTAGTGATGTTACCACTGCACTACAAGAGATGCCACATGGATCTGCTTTATTTTTCTTTACGCCCAGAATGCTATCACGCACAACTGAACCACACTTCCAACCACCAAATCACCATGAATTTATGGGCCTGCTTTATGGATATTTTCTAATCGATCTGTTCAGAGATATTACAACTGTGGACTAGGTGGAACTCAACAGCACAGCAAAGATTTGGTTTGAACACACTTGCGCACCGGGAGGCAGAACTTTGAAATGGCACCCAGCACGGGACTTGAACCCAGAGCCCTGAGATAATAAGTCTCATGCTCTACTGGCTGAGCTAGTTGGCCACATGGGTCTGCTTCATGTTTTTTATATCCAAAAGTATTATCACGCACACAACTGAGCAACATTCCCACCACCAAAATCACTGTGATTTTGTTTTTGCAGTTTTTTTTTCTCTTTTAACGCCTAACCACCACCGTAAGTGGTCTGTCTTATATTTTCTAATCAACCTGTTCAGAGATGTTATTATATAGCTCGGGAGCATTAGCAGGGAACTATTGTCTGTTGATGCTAATGCTAATCAGGATTTTCTAATGTGATTGCTCTGTCAAGTTTAATTCCATGGGCCATGAGCGTAAGCAAGTTTTACTAAAATCTTCAAACCATTATAAATGTATAGATTCATCATGTTTTATTTATCAACACTTTCTGATTGTTACCCAAAATGATTCTACTTGGATCAATGTTTACCATTAATGTTTTTAATTTGGAAGTTGATGGATGTGAATTGAAAACTTTGATAGCCACCTGGTTAAAAAGCACTAAAAGTTCCATTGCACTGTTGATCTGACACCCATGAGAAGCTGAGTGTTAATGAAAAGGCATACGCATGTCAGTTATCCGAGTGTGAGTGATTATACTCTGCTGATGTGTATTTGCAATTTGTTGAGGTCTGGCTGTGCATCGCCTCTGACACAATTGTCATGAATATACCAGCATATTCGGGGGCTGTTGGCCTCAGTTCAAGTCCCATCCACACCACAAGTGCATAACGCCTGTGCAGGGTGATTAGAAAATATCCAGCTCTTGTAGTACAATGGTAGTGTCCCTACTCAGGTTCAAGTCCCACCTACTCCAGACAAGAAGAGGTGAGATCCTACAGAATATGGGCATTTGACTTAGCAGTTCTTCTGTTAAATTTCTGTACAACCGTGCTCACGATGAGGGATTCATTGGTAATGCTGTTGAGTGTTAAGAAAGAGTTGGTTAGACTGTCTGTCCGATGGGAGAAGGTAATAACCTGGCACTTGTACGGTGTAAACCATTTATTGTTCCAAGCCTGGATGTTGTTCAGTTGTTGCTGCACGCAAACATGAACTGCTTTACTCTCTGCACAAGTTGCAATTGGATTTAAACAGTCTGCAAGTCATGAATGCAAGTCCTCATTTCTCACCTTATGTCGGAGGGAAGATCTTTCATGAACAAGTTGCTGTGGTTGAATCTGGTGAACTTTCCTGAAGGACTCTTCTAGTGATAACCTGAGGCTGAGATGATTGGCCTCCCAAGAATCACAACCATCTTTTGTGGTTGGCATAACCTCAGCCAATGGAGGATAGGCAGGTTGATTTAAAAATACCAGTTTTTCTAAAACCTTAATGGATTTCAGCCCAAATATTGCTTCAGCTGTATCCTCTTTTGCTATGATTTTGGGAGCATCTTGTTTGTAAAAGACAGATGCAAAAAACTCATTTAATGCTTCAGTTGCGTTATTTACTTTGTTTAAAAAAAAAGTTATTCATGAGAAGTGGATACTGCTGGCTCAGGGCCACGTATATTACCCACCCCTCATTTCCTCAAAGTTCGACATGAGCTCTGGCATTGAATTGCTGCACTTCTTGGACTGGACGTGTACCACAGTGCTGCTGGGAAGGCAGTCTGTCATGTACCCTCTTTCTGTGCCTCATCTTATTTTCAATCTCCTTTGTCAATGAGGGAGCTTGTGCAGGTTTTGGATCCATCAGTACTCTTCTTGAAGATTTGTTTCTGCTTATACTTTCCGGGTGGCCTACAAAATAGTAGCCTAATTGTTTCCTCATTTTAACCAAATAGCTGCTATCCTTGACTCCTCTGCCTTCAGCATTGTGGTATTCTTCTTAATCACTATTGTCTTCCAACTCATTTCTTCCTCTTCCTATCTTTCTTGAACATCTTGTGCGCAAGACTGTTTAGTACACACTCCTGTGCTTTTTTTTGAGCCAGATCAATGTCAACACAACAAAAACATGTTTCCAAGTGGCTCTGTTCCTGCCATTCACCAGTCTTATTTACCATATGTTGTGCATTGACATACATGCGCAATCAACTAAATTCAGCCCTAATCGCATTCGCCCTTGCTCTTACTCCTTGTACGAGAGTGGGATGCAGTCATGGGACTCATGTACTGCCTGCCTGATCTTCCTTGACTGTCTGACAGTCATCCATTCCCTTTCTCCCTGCCATCTGTTGGGGGGCCATGCTCAGAAGACATGATGTTCACAAAACTCTCTACGTAGTGGAGGCACCATAATGACGTTGGCTGCTGGTCAAGCTCCAAACTGATGATGTACACGTGGTTGTCCAGGACACCACAGAATTATAAAATTGTTACAGCACAGATCAAGGCTGTTTAGCTTATCGTGCCTGTGCAGGTTCTATTACCTAGTGCCAATCTCCTGCCTTCTCCCATATTCCTGTATACTATTTATAAGTAAATAATCCTCCAGTACCCTCTTGAATGCCTTCATTGAACGTGCCTCCTCCACATTTCCCAGCAGTGGATTCTGTACCCTAACTGTTTGCTGTGAAAAAGACCACCCCCACCGGCAATGCATCACCATTAAATCTGTGACCCCTCATTCTTTCTCTTATGATTGGGAACAGTTTCTCCCTATATACTCTATTGAGCCCACTCATGATTTTGAAAACCTCTACCATTTGCCACTTACAGGTAGTTTTCATTTCTTTATGGGGAAGTAGCTCTGCTAGCATTGAATATGTTATTCAATCCTTGTTGCCCTTAACAATGTGATGATGAGCTACAGCTTTGAACTGCTGAAGTTCATTGGGTGTCTGTATCTCGACAGTGCTGTTCAAGAGCTCCAGGATTTTAACGCAGTGGGAGGAAGAAACATGGTGATATTCCCAAGGCAGGAAGCTGTATGCACTGGGGGCAGGAGTGTTCCTACTTGAGTGTTAATCTTGTTCTTTGATGTAACATTTCAGAGGACGGATGAAGAATCAACCTCATTGCTGCTCTTGTTCTGGCATAGGGCCACAATGGCAGATTTTGCTTCTCAAGGACATTAATGGACCTGATGGTTTATTTGGAACAATGTGGTGATTTCATGATGACTTGTTGAGACCAGCTTTTTCTTCCAGGTTTATTTAATTATCTGGATTTAAATTCCCTAGTTGCCATTGTTGGGGTTTGAACTCCTCTTAACAGATCTTTAGATCTTTACTGGAATACTAGACCACTAACATTACCACATTGTTACTCTACCCGATGCAAATAACTTTTGATATATTTTGAAAAGGGTTTAGTAAAGTGTGTACTTTGATTTAGAATCAATCTTGGTAGAAATGGCTCAATGAAAGAGATTATAATTATCACGACTGCTTTTCTTCCAATGTTGCTGGGTTCGGTAATCCGAATTAGGCAGAGAAAATCACTGCAAGGACTTTACTTTCTGATTATTATCTGACAACTGCCAATGGAAGGTGTTTGCATTTGGATGTCAAAAGATGACTGGATCAAATTTGCTTCAGTGCCTCCATTGCTGAATTGCTTATGGACGTCTTCATTAGAGATTTACAGACATTATGGAGTAACCTTAACACGTGAAGAATGGCTCCATGGAGGAAATACTAGAAAATATTCATTTCCCATGGATCTCTTGCCCCCCTGAGATTGTAGCATGTCTACAAAGAAGGCAGAAGTTAGGAATGCAAAAATGTGTGAAGGTGTTAATCTCTCAGAACGCCACAAGTTGGTATCATGAAAGCAGACTCTGGTTGGTGTATGAGTTGTGCTGCATATGATTTTAATAAGAACTGGGGAATTCAAGGAGGAGTAGGCCATTAGGGCCCCTCAAGCCAGTTTTGCCAGTCAGGAAGATCATGAATGATCTGATGTGATGCCCTGAGCTCCCTTCCCTGGCTGTCCTCCATAACCCTTGAAACTCTTGTCAATCAAAAATCCGTCCACCACAACCTTAAAGATATGCAATGACCTAACCTTCACTGCTCACTGGGAAAGAGAATTCCAAACATTAACTAATCTCTTAAAACAAATTCCACCTCATCTCCATGTTCACCCGGAGGCCCTCATTTTGCAACAGTGGCCCCTAGTCCTACTTGACAACTAAAAAATATTCTCTTGGCAGTGACCTGTCAATCCCTTGCTTAATCTTACATCTTTCAAAACAACTGCTGCTCATTCTTCCAGATGCCAACGACTCCGTCTGGCACTGCAGTCTTGCGGGAAGTGCCGGGCATCAGATTCCGGGTGGAGACCTGCCTAAGATTAGGAGCTCACTTGGGTCACGGAGCTCAGAAATGTGCAAAACCTCCACCTTAAACTAATTTTTGGTAATGGCCATGTTGGTCTATGTGTAGCAGTGCTTGCTGGCATTCACGTTGGTGTTTGAATTCTTGGAACAATTCTGATTTCCTGTTTTCTTTGCTCATTTTAGGAAAATCTGGAGGAATGAAGGAGCAAGAGCTTTCCTGAAGGGAGCATACTGCAGAGCCCTGGTCATTGCACCTCTCTTTGGCATCGCACAAGTTGTTTACTTCCTGGGAATAGCAGAGACCATGTTAGAGATGCTTCCACGTAGACGAGATTAACCCATGGAGCACCTTTGCAAGACATCTGGCCTGGTTTCACAGGATTGAGTATGTCGTTCAAAGAGCACAGTTTTTGGAGTCTAACAAACTACCATCTTCCTGCTTCTTGCCTTTATTCCTTCCTTCATTGCAAAAATGAAACTTTATTCTGCTTCTCCCAGTCATACTTAAAGACCAACAGTATTTTTTTTTTTGTTTCTATTTAAATTGTGATCAGTCAGCACCAGATAGTATAAGAATTGCTGTAATTTTGTAACTCTTAAACTGGTCAGTACTGATCTGGCAGTAATGTTTCTAAAGGGATCATCTCCGCACGTAGAAGAAGGACCCCTCATATCCAATTACTTAAGGTATTTAAGGAACAATAGGGGGGCTTGAATGGAGTTTCAACAGCAGAATATTGGTTAACTGGCTTGTTAATACTAGCTTCTTTTGGTGTCTGTGTGCAGGTGCTGGGTAACTATTTTTACGGAACAAGCACGTCATATAAAATCTATCCTTTATGGCGCTGCCTTGAATATGTTGTTGGAATAACAGTTCATTAGTCTTTTGACATTTTGGGGGTGAAACTCGACTTGGGCAGATAAATAATTCGGCAGTATTGTATTGACATCTTATCCTGTTTTATTGATATCACTGGAATTGGATATGGGCAAGGCATTTAATGGCTGAAATGACATGATAGTACCTGCCTGGTGTGGCCTACCCAAGGCAAGTTTTGCCTCCCCACCTCACCGGGTGTGTGGGTATTCACAGATTTGAATCAAAGCAAATTTGAAATGCAGTCGGGCTACATGTGTACCAAACAAAATGTGGAGTGAATCGTAATCAGTGACTGGCGGCTGTGAATTTGCATTGGTTTGTATGAGCTGGGCCACCTGGGAAGGTGCAGGCGGAATATTTGCTGATTAATTTGAAATTACCCTTGATCACTTTTGCGCTTGGCTGCTGAGTTGTACTGAGTGCAGTGCAGGCTACCTGTGTTGAAGCTGCACAGAGAGTTGATGTTTTTACTGTGGTGCAGTGACATAATTTGAGCCAGTGCACTCTTATTGCAGGCATGCAAAGGCCATCTTTGGTGACCCTGTTTGGCTGACTGGTCATTCCCCTTTTATTTCATCCTCAAAAAAAAAACCTACAATCATTGAGACTGTTATACATGGCTTGTGAGTACCTGTCACATCTGGTATTACTGTAACTTGCCTGTGTTATCAGAGCAAACACCCACTATCGATTCAATATTAATAGAATCCATAAGTCAAATACAGGATACAGCATCTGGTTTACAGGCAACTGTATTGTCATTAGAAGTAATTAGGAGATGACCACAAAAACATTTTTAAAATTTTATAGAAACCTGCATGCTATGATCTTCATTCACGTTTCTAACTCGTGTAATAAAACTGCTCCATGTTGATCATGTCTGCCCAGCAGCCACCGGTAGACCATTCATGTGTGATATGATTTAAATGTTTTCTCCATTGCAACCTTTTATTTAGAAAGACAAAACCTCCAAATCACGGTTCAAGTGGACATCGTGCAAATGTTTCTGAGGTCTACCACTTTATGATACTGAAATCCTGGCCATACCATGGTAGTGATTCTAGGGCTTAAGCAGATAACAAACTGCTGAAACTTTGTTCTCGAGGGTTTTGTCGTTACCTGACCTCCATGTTTGAGATACTGCCTGGCAATCTACTGCTCTGACATCTGATATCTTTCATCTGCTGAGCCTTCAGCCGGCTCATTTGTTTAAAATTACGCTGCTGTACAGTGAAATGAGAGAAAAGGCTTCTTGATATGTGTTGTCATTCGCACTGCTTGTAGTCAATAGAAAGAAGAAACACGGGTACAATACACATAGGTTTAGTATGGGAAAATCTTTTTTTTTTCCTTAAAAGAACAGAGTAGTATTTTTATAAAGAAGACAATTTCTTCAAACCAATAAACACCAAATCCTTTCAGAGCCATGGCTTTAAAATCCATGTTGCGATCCCTTTAGAATCATAAAGGTAAAGTTCTGCTTTTTTTTAAAACTGCATTACTCCTTATGCCTAGATTGTATCAGTATTACTTGATCTCATATGCACATGGCTTGAGGATTATAGTCCCTGTCTTTTTTGGAGGTGCTGTGTTTTAACTGTGTTTCAATTACCAATGAAATTGTATACTTATAGGCTGTTCAAGGATTTGAGGTCAGTGTTTGATTGTTTGGAAGTATTGAGCACACTTGAGATAAGGACCTTAAATCCACTAAAGGATTTCTGCCATTTTTGAACTTAAGGACTGAAGGTCTTCCCATATGCCTGACACAGATAAAGGGAAAATCTGTGGGAGGACTGGACAGTGCAAAAAATAACACTGCTGCCTCATAGCAGGAGTTGAGAGTTTAAATCTGGTTTACATATCTCTGGTTTTTAAGGGCCCAATGCAAAATGAGTTTGGGTAGTCTCTCAAAACTGCTGTTTATTGACACTAAACTGCCAATCTCACCAAGATTCTAAGGGCTGTCTGATACAGGAAGTGGGGCAACCTTATGCTGGCCCATTAGGGAGCCCTTTTCACAGATTATTACTGCGCGTACTTAATGATATATTTCATGTCTTGCCCACATGTTTCACCTCAATAAACACAAGAAAAACCTGAACATTCAAAATCTGAATTCGAAGGAGGGAAACTAAATTAATCAGATTCTGATTGAATTTTTTTTTTGGACTCCACAATGAAATTCCATGACAATGAAACACTCCAAAAAGCCCCATGGTACTTCCAGACTAAGACATTGGTATGTACTAAGAATTATTGGACAAACTTTACCCAGTGCAGCATTCTGGATTATAATAGATCATGTGTTTACTCCACCAGCCAGTCTCACAATTAAATGCTTGAACTTTTGCTTTACCTTAATTCCTGCTTGGGAACATTTAGATATTATGGACCTCATAGCTGACCTGAGAATCAATTGAATAAATTATAATCGCTGGAGATCTAAGTGTTCTTTAGGATTTCGAACTTGAGTCCAATGGAGTGTATGGAAGAGAAGCTGATTCATGTGTCACAGGCCCTGTTGTTTGTAATTCCTTGCTATGATTTTCAATATAGTCCACATATTTGTATCCTGAGCTTTGTCACTCCCTTAATTTCCTTTCACCTGGAAAGCTGATGAGTATACTCTGCACTTCTGGACCTCTCCATTAGGCAGGTTCACATATCTAACACTAAGAATGAATAAATCATACATATGTAAAACATTTCCCTCACCTAAACCTCAACCAATGTTAATTAGAACTCAAGCATCAGCTCTCTCACTGAGGATCGTGGTCTTTTCTGAGAACTGCAGGATGAATTTGTGGCTGTTGCTTCATTTTGCATCAAAGCTGGTGAGTTATATAGTACACAACTAGTTCTTGCATTTCTGTGATACCTGTGTCCTTGTTTTGTAAAGTAGTAACTGGTGGGAACAATCCATAACTTTATTTTTGAACGAGGATTCTTTTCTAGATCGGTTCCTTTATTAATTGCTCATTATTTTAGTTACCACTGTAATAATGCAAATTGGAATATCACAAGTGTAAAATGTTGCTAATTTAAATAACTTTATATCTCATATATTCTGTGCTTCTTAAGAATTCTTGCTAGATTTATTTGGAAAATACAGTATTTCCTAAAGTGTTATTTTACACAAAGCTATTGGTTATTGTTAGATTATTACATTTTTTTGGTTTATCCTTCATTTTGAAAGGAAAGCAGCATGGTTCTTGGGACTGGTTTGGGTCTGCACTAAAGTTAGTTCATTGATGTTTTGCTGAATTCATTATCTGGAGGTTCATTGGGTAAGTGAGTCAAGGTTTAGGGTCCATCCGCTTTCAGATAGCAACAACTTTATATCTCAAAAGCTCTGCTAATAGTACCAGTGATAGAAATGATTCTTGAGGTTTGCATTGTTGAGTAGACGAGGCCAGTTTCCTTAAAGTTTGGAAGATAAAGACGTGAACTCATTAAAACCTATAAAAATCTTGAGGAGCTTGCCAGAATAAGTGCTGTGAGAATGTTTCTTCTGACGAGGTGATCTAGAGCTAGGCATCGCAGTATCAAATTGAAGGAGTCAGCTATTTGTGACTGAGATGAGACATTTCATCATTGAGTTGTGATTTTTTAGCCTTTTCTGCCCTAGATTCTCAGTCATTGATTATATTCAAGTCCAACATTAATAGGTTTTGAACACTAACGAAATTGAGGAACGTGCACATAGTGCAGTTTGTTCAGGCAGAAGTTCAGCCATGATCTTATTGAGTGACGGAGTAGGCTTGAAGGACTGAATGGCCCATTGCTGCTCCTATTTCTAACGGGAACTGAATTCTAAATCTGATATTGGAGTTTGCTTGGCATTGTCCCAGAGATATGGTTTATTCTTATCCATTTATCCATTATTGTATGTAATATTGAGCAGCGATTCTAAACTGTGAGGATCAATGCCAATCAGATTGATTACCAGCACAGAAACGAGTCACTTGGCTCCATTGATCAATGTTAGTGTTGGTCCTCCATCTAAGTCTCAGTTGACCTCTTCTCAACATCTCGCTCAATCCCCTTGATTTCCTGGATGCACCATGACTCTCCTAGATATAGCAACGTCTTCCAACCACTCCATATGACAGAGAGTTCCGTCTTCTTCGCTGTTGAGTAGTCATACCTTCTAAATTCATCATTTGACATATTGGTAGCTGATTTGCACTTATGGCTCATTGCTCTGGATTGAATTTTTGTTAGTCACAGGATATGTGCTTAAGGCCAACAGCGCTGCCATGTAGGGCACCAGCAACATGCATGCAGATTAGTTGCAGGGCTGTTTTTGTGTGTGGTGTGGGGATTGGTGGGAAGATTTGAAACTAGCCCCCTACAATTCAGAGTAAAGGCCAAAATGCTGGAAGATTCTGTCCTGGGACGGTTAGATTTTGTGAAAGTTTTGGCTTGTGACTGTGCAGCAAGCTCACGATGCAGTGGGCACATTGAGAACATCAGCAACACTGTTCTTGTATGTATCAATG